CTCATGCTTGCTACCTCAATGGGTGGAGAGCAACATGCTGTACAGGTGTGGTGGTGCCGAGGTGTCAGCTACCTGCAATATACCAGGATATCCCAAAGCTTCGTTTACCTACTTGTACAGGTAGCCCTTGACTTACCACAGTTCATTTAGTGACGGTTCAAAGTTACAACAGTGCTTAAATAAATGACTTATGACATTTTTTTTCAAACGACCACTGCAGAATCCCCGTGGGCAGGTGATCAAAACTCAAAAGACACTTGGCAACTGACTCATATTTATGACGGTTGCAGCGTCCCCTGGTCATGTGATCCCCCTTTTGTGACCTCCTGACAAAGTCAATGGGGAAGCCAGAGTCACTTAACAACCGTGTTACCAACTTGACAGCTGCAACAATTTGCTTAACAACTGTGGTGTCATAAAATGAGGCAAAACTTACTTAACAAACGCCTCACTTAGCAGCAGAAACTTTGGGCTCATGACTTATGACAAGCCCTTGTGACTTTTCAGAGGCACAAAGATATCAGCTTCTCAGGGCTCAGAACAATGTAAGAGCATGGCTTAGAGAAGAGAAATACACGGCCAAAGTTGGGAGGAGCAGTTATAATAGTCATACAGAGAATGCAAGAAAGGAGGAAGTGCTACGGACAGAGAAAGGAGCGAAAGAAAAAAAGAAATCCAGTGAAAGGGAAGCAAATGTAGGCTAATCAAAAGCAAAGAGCACCACGTTCAAAGTCTAAGTACCGTATTTTTCGGAATATAAGGTGCACCTTTTCCCTCAAAAAAGAGGGTGAAAATCTCGGTGCGCCTTATACACTGAATACAGCATTTTTTGCCTCCCGAAACTCCGCCCCTTCACCAAAATGGCTGTGCATAGATTTTAGAAGGCTTTCAGAGAGCTCTTGGGGGCTGGGGAGGGTAGAAATGAGTTTAAAAATGCCCCATTTTTGACCCCCCCCCAGCTCCAGCAACATTCTATAAGCTTCCTAAAGGCTATCCATGCCCTTTTTTTGTTGACAGAAAACAAGGTCATTTTTATGAAAAACGGGCTATTTTGGCTCATTTTTGCCCCCCTCCCCCCAGAGCACTCTACAAGCCTCCTAAGGGCTACTCATGCCCCCTTTTTTGGAAAAAAAATGGGCCAGTTTTTGCAAAAAAATGGGCTGTTTGGGGGGGAGGGGTTTGCAGAGTGCAAAAACTTTTCTTTTTTAATTTTCCTCTTCAAAACCTTGGTGCGTCTTATACTCCGGTGCGTCTTATATTCCGAAAAATGCGGTATTTTCCAAGGCAAGTGGTCTTCACCAAGGAACCCTCTTACCATCGTTTGAAGGCTGGATCTGGAAAGGTTGGTTGTAGATCTCTGGAGTGGCGCAGGCAGTCTCGGCCTCTTCCTGTTCGTCGTTTTCGGTGTCACACTCGATGTCGCTGTCGCTGCTCATGCCTGGCAAGAGGTGAAGTCTAGCTGCACCCCAGAGAGGAAGAAAACCGGCTGCTCAGCACTCACACATTACCCTCAAAGACAAAAAGGCTAACAGCTCTCCTTACTTCTCTGGGATCTATGGAAAGGCTTCCTAGTAGTAGACAAGGCAAATACAGCTCTGGNGCATGGCCATTAAGCAGATACAACTGCCCCCGTTGTTTGCGGGTGGCAATTGTGACGCCTGGATGCTACGACTGTGGTACGTACCGTATCTGCTGGCTGCCCAAACTTTGATCAGGTGATCTTGGGGCTGCTGCGACAGAGAATGGGTCACTTATTCCAGTGCCGTCGTAACTTCAAACGGCCACCCGGCGAATGGTTCTAAGTTGAGGACTGCATGTAATGTTTATCCTGTTGCTGATTAATCCACTCCAGTTGCCCTGCGCTTGCACAGAAGGAAGGTTTAAATATTTATACCCTAAAGTGCCACCAATCACTCTCAGCACTTCAGAATCTACTCTGACTTCTGCACACTTCCTGAAAAAGCACAATCTGCTAGCCCCCTCCTGAGCAAATTAGGGATACCCACAAAAGCAAGTGAGGGAGGATACTTCTCCCTGGCTCAGAGAGAACGTCTTTAAGAGGAAGAGACCTCAGCACTCAAGATAGCATCTAGCCCTCCCCTGCTTCCATATAAATAATTTTCAAATTAGAACCTTTAGATTCATCAAGTAGCCCTCTCTGTCCTGTGTTCACAGTACTACTCCACTGTTGTATATTCAAAAGCAACTTTTTTTTTTTTAAAGAACAGTTAAGCCAGAAAAACAGCTATGCCGTGTTAAGCTCGATGCGACAAACTGAGAATTGTAGTTCAAGTTGCCTAGGAACTTGAGATTAATTAGGAAACTGGATATCTTTCCAAGAATTGGCTTGTTCGGCTCCAGAGCAAAAAGGACCACAAACACAATGCCACCAGTGAGGGTTCTTAAGCCCGTTAACAAGGCCTGATTTCTCTTTCTAATGTAAGTTCTAAAGCAGGACTAAATATTTAGCCACCAGTATTAACACGTTGAAGTATTGTGCAAATGTCAAATTTGGTTTTGACAGGCGTGTTGTCTAACAATCCCTGCTGTGGGAAAAGAAAGGGGAAAAAAGATTAACGACATTCCTCATTATTGCTAAAATGTTAGAACTGTGCATTCTTAAAAGAATGCCAAGCTTATTACCAGAGCTATTGAAAGTTAATTGTGTTGTCCTAAACACTAACGAAGTAGGTCAGTTTAGTAGAAATGATTTAGTAACATGTTGGGATCGGTTGAAAATTTTATTCCAGTAACTTTAATGACTTTCGTAGGAATCGTGTATTAGCCATATTTTATTTATTAAAGCTGTTAGAACAAGGACTATGATCAACCTCTACCAGTACCTTAATAAAATGACAAATCCTAACTTTTCTGTCGACTTCTTTAATGACAAACAACACTGTTTTGAGTTTTTCTCGTTTCATATGGTAGGCAGTTAAACCATCTACTGATTTTCTGCTTCTAACTGCAGAGAAGATTTTAAAAGCTTCGTTTTGCAAAAACAGCAGCAAACCCACAGAAAGAGAGTACCGAAAATACTTTTTCAAAGTCAACAGGGCTTTGTTTTTCTGTGAAGATGTTTCATTACACATCCAAGATGCTTCTTCAGTTCTGACTGAAGAACAGAAGAAGCTTCTTGGATGAGAAGTGAAATGTCTTCAAGGAAAAACGAAGAAAAGTTCATTTGCCTTTTCAAAAAGCACGTTTAGGACAACCATGGTCTGAATTGTCTGAGAATCTCCAGACATTTGGCCACAAAAAAGACGCACTTTGAAGCAGCAAAATTTACAAATGTGGTAGGGGAGAATTCCCCCTACCCTAGGGAACACAATTATTTGATTTATATCTTGTATTTAGGTTTAAGGAAAAGTATACCAATGTAGTGACCTTTTCCCAGTTTCTGCTCTTAAGAACTTTTTAAGACCAATGTGCTATGTTGCCTTAAAATTACTCTGAGCTTCAGAACTGAGGATAAACTAAAATCCAATTCTCAATCGCAATCCAATATTTAACCATAATTTGATACAGTAAAATGAAAATGACATCGACTGGTGGGAAACAAAACAGAAACAATATAAGTGGGAAATGAAGAGATCAAAAGTGTAAAAACCTCCAGAGACCTATTTTAGTGTCTGGATACATCATTTTCTGGTTGTCTTTAAGAGATCCTACCTTAAAGTATCACCAGGAATGAAAGTGACAGCTACCTACAAAAATTAATAGATATAACTGCTGATGCTGACGTGTCCATTTCAAAACTATGCTGTAACCACAAAACAAATCTTGCTTTTTCTTAAGTAGTCCTTAAATCTGTCCTTTTAATTATAAAAAAAGAATTATACAATCTGTCTGAAGGTAAATAACAAGGGGATTTCTTGGAATGCTGAGTCTTAAGACTAGATTTTAATTTTAGTAATGAGAGCCTAAGATGCTGTTCCCAAAGGAAATAAAAATGGCTTTTAACTGGAGTAGTTTCCTCTGCACTTCAATCCAAATTCAGTTTTTTTAAAGAGCCTGGAATATTTGCTTTATTAATATTCCAAAGAAAGTAGCTTACTTATCCTGCTCAATGCCTAATTTCAGAGCAAGGACAGGATTATTGATGTTCATTTGGCAGTGATGTAGAATGGAAACATTTCAAAGTTACAGTTCCGGAGCATGTTATTCCAAACAGCTTCTAGAAGTTTGTTCTCATTCCTCAATCACTGTTTTACTTACTCCAACACCATGCTAGTTGTAACACCACGATTGTTTTCTACTGCAATTACATAACTGTCACTATGCATAAAATACAACTACAGTGATAACCTCACTACTCATCGTTAATTGGTTCCGGGAGGTGCAATGAATGCCAAACAATTTTTTTCCCATAAGGAATAATGCTGTGAGTCAC